CAGCTGTGGAGCCTGGATGAAGAGTTCTAAAGCCGGGGTTGGGGGGGATACTAAGATGCCAGCAATGAACCCAGGACTGCTTGGAAGCCTGAACAGCAAGAAAGCTGGGGAGGACACAGAGGCCAGCTCTGTGCCTATCTCTGAATTGTGAAGCTATCAAGGATGCAGATGTCCTTAGCAAAGTACTACAACTAGAGTTTGCCAGAGTTAGCAAATAAAAATATAGAATCCTCAAATAGTGCAGGGAACATACTTACACTAAAAAAATTATTTGTTGTTTATGTGAAATTCAAATTTAACTGGACATCTGACATTTTATCTGGAAAACCAAGCTACACCAAAATAACTTTAATAACTGTGAACCTGGTATTAGTTGAGGGGATGGGGCTCTGGGGCATTTTGGAGAAAGACTTGAGAAAGAATTCAGGTGGCTTTCTTATTGTAAACAACCAGAAATAGTTTAGGGCCATGGTGAAACTGGCCGTAGATTGCCATCTAGTGGAAAAATCTTTGCAGTGAAAGCTAAAATTGGAGGAGTAGGCAGATTTTTCTCGAGTTTGCAAGGAAAGATTCTGCTCAGGTCAATTGCAGAGTCCTGAGGTTGTCCTGTTAGAGGAGGAGGACACAAGGGTGGGGCAGGTAGGAGCAAGGCTTGGATGAGTTTTCCTCATGGTCTAAGTAGAGAAGTGTCTGGACCGTGGGTCTGCACCATGCAGAAACGTTGCTTCCTCTCTCCGTGCAAAACCAAAGCGAAAGCTAGAGCTACCTGTAAGAAGTGCAAGACTCTTCCAAATGAGAATGGCTCAGAGGGATGCGGAACTATCAAAAACGAAATTCTGCAGATATAATCGCAGATCATTACACCCTCTAACCTAGGAAGTCATCCAAAAGATAACGATGTAGCTACACAGGCAAGCTCAGATCTTGAAAGGGCTGAAAAGATACACAAGTTAAAAGGTGGTGCACCCTGGAATTCCAAGGACAGTATCTCAAAGACTGGAAGAAACTCTGTGCTGCAAACATGCTAAAGGCCAATGCCAACAGTAACAGTAACAATGGCAATAATAAAACCAAACTTGCAACAGGAAGAACAGAAAAGATGAATGTGCTCCTCTAGGCAGACATCATCATGTCAACATCTAATACAGAGAAAGCAGAAGCACCGGATTCTCATTTTGGACTGTCTCGTTGAAGAAAGGAAACTATTCTAGATATTAAAAGCGTTGGACAAAAAAACATAAGATGGACTTAAAACCCAAACAGAAGTCTTATAGCTGGTTTAAATAATTCTATATTTTTTTCTAGTACAAAACAGGAGAGGGTCTCTAAGACTTTATAGAGGTAAATATCCTAATTTTCAAAGAGATGTTTTGTAGAAACTAAAGGAGAACAAATTTAATGTAAAATTCTTATAGACTTCTGCAAGAGGTTGTTAAAAGATGGCTTATGAAGATTTAGATTTTTAAAAAACCATAAAAGATGGCAAATGTTCCTTAAGAAAAAGCCATTCCAACCTAAACATCTGTACCCCCATAATATGCTGAAATAAAAAAAAAAAATGAAAAGAATATTTAAAAGTAAAAGATCCTTAAAATACACTAATGCCCTCAAAAAAAAAAAAAAAGAAAAAGCCATTCCAAACTTATCTCCATGGCTATACAGTTAGTCATAGAAGGATACTAAATTATCAGAGTGCTATGCAGGGACTATGTTTTGATTTTATTGAGTCATACAGCAGTTTTTCCTCAGAATCCCTGTGGGAGATAGCAAAGAAGGGCACGGGATGATAACAGGTACGGAAGATTTGTAGCTAGTTTAACTCTCACTCAAGAAAGTGTCCATTAATGGAGAATTTTCAAGGAGGGATGCCAGAATCCTGTATTTACCCATATCCTATATACTATTAATAATTTATCAATGATTTGATTATAAAATATACAAAACATATTAAATTTGCAGATAGAACAGAATTACAAAAATGGCTAATGTTACGTAAAGGACTTCAAACCATCTTAACAAGCTCAATAATGGGCTACAATGAACAAAGTGAAATTTAACAGGCCATATAAATCTTTGCATATTTAGATTAGAAGTGTCAATTCTCCAAGTACAAAATGAGCGTGAACTGGCTTTAAAACATTGCCTATTAAAAGGACCTAGAGGTTATAGTTGACTGTAAGTTTTGGACCAAGGCTATGAACTGGCAGCACAAAAAACTAATACTTTTTTAAATAGAGACATTATTCGTAGAATATCCTATTTGAAGGAGATAATAGCTGTACCAAACAGTTGATCAGACCACATTCGAAGTGAACTTCAGTTCTGACACCACTCCTAAAAGGAACGTGGACAAACTCCAGGGTGGTGAGGAGCCTGGAGACCAGGCTGCACAAGGGCCGGCGGGAGGAGCTCCCACCATCGCCTGTAGAAGAAAAGGCTTTGAAGAAAGACATGCAGTCCTCAGATTTTGTGATTTATTCTTTGTTAGCATTGGAAAACAAAAATCAATTAAACTAGATATTGATTTCCTCCTAGCAGAATGAAGAACGTTGTAATAAAGCTGTTGAAAAATTCTATAGGCTCTTACATAAGGGAGTTCACCCCAACACCTGGCCCTCCACTGGAAAATGAGACTGAATGATACTGTGTCAATGGTGGGGTAGAGGAAAGTCCTGCATGTCAGGAGCTTCGACCTGACAGCCTAGAAATTTTCTTCTACCTCTAGGTTTCTATGCTTCTAAGAAGTTCTCGCCATTTTCTCTTTGTTTAGTCTATCATTCATTTTTAATTCTCAATCATTTTAGTTTTTCCCCATTAGAAATGTACTTGTCTGTTACGACCATGGCAACCCCTCCTTGACTGTGGATCCGCCTCACTCTCCCCTGGGTGAGATGAACCTCCTGCCTCCCACGACGTGCAGACTTGAGAGTGACCAGCAGCCTTTCGCTGGCCTCCATCCTGCCTATACCTGTCTTGCTCACCTTCATTTCTGCTTGACCATGTCATCCTGCTGCCTTCTCACCTGCTCCCCAAATTCCTTCTTACCTTCCCTCCGCCTCTTCCCCATACATCCCCTTGGCCCACTCATACTCAACTAGCACATCCACTCATATTCTTCTCTTAAATTCTTTTCCTTTTTGTAAACTTCCCTATCATGTGCAAGCCAAGTCAACCTCATCTCTTGCACTTTCTCTCTACGTGCACCTCTCTGGTGGACTTTTGCATCCTCTCAGAGTCATTTTCTCATTAGCTTGCACTGGTCTTCCTAACTGTTCAATCCCAGCTCTCTAATCTCTAAGCATTCCTCTTATGTATTGGAAGAATATCGATCTTCATAACTGTTTTCTGACATGTTCCCTTTTCGTATTCATCTTCTTGTCCCATCAGCTTTCTCACCTGCCTGGTCTTCCTCACTTCTTCATTTCTCTCCCGACCTGTTCTTTCTTACCTTAGACCCTCAGGTCCCTTCCCCCCAGTCTCCAAATCTGTGCCCTATCTTTTTCTCTGCTAACTACACTTATTTTAGGATAGATTTTATTCTATGGCTATTTTCCTCTTCCATCTCCCAGTGGATGTGTTGCTATTTCTCACATCATCTCTACCCTCATCTTTCTGGTCCTTTTGAGACTCATCTCTCTAGCACCATCCCACTTTCTTTTCTATAAAAATTGGTTGCTTACCTTCCTCTCACTTTCCCTTTAGCCCTTAACACACTAAGGCAGGATCTTAAGCATGGAACCAATGAGGCCCAATTGATGTCTCTGCCTTCATTGCCTATGTTGCCATTTACCTAGTTTGGTTCACCACCAGAGGATAGACGGGAGCTATTCAAGCTCAATGTGGATGCAAAGTCAGTCTGTGCACTGGAAGGGGAGGGAGGTACCCATGGGCACACCCGCCCTCAGTGCCCATTCCTTCCTGAGCCCCTGACCCAGTGTTCAGATGTCAAGGGGGCATGCTTAACCTTTGGCTAACCTGTCTCTCTCATTGCCTCCTCTCTCCACCCCTCAACCCACCCCCAGAGCTCCCTAGATTAGCATCCAACCTCCAAGGGGAACTGTAAACAAATGGAGGAGGTAAAATTGCAGTCCATAGGTGAGAGTTGAGTAGGAAATGGTTAGTGATCATTTTAGATGATCTCTCAAGGTGCCCAGCACATATCTTTTGGTGCCTCTGCAAGCTGGGGTCGGGGGGAAAGAAGAGATGCCTCCTTCTTCCTGGTCCAACGAGTCTGGGGATGCTGTGGCATTACTCCTGGCAGGGCAGAACTGTCTACTTGCCATCCTCTTCTACATGCCCCTCACTCCTCCTCCCGCCCCCAACTTCCACAAACAGCATAAGAGCTTTGAAAAATAAGTCACAGTTCACAATACTAGAGACTCAACCTCAGATATCCTCAGGCTTCTCTTGTGATCTTAGCCCTGGGGCCCAAATTTCAGAGAGGCCCAGACTCAGATTTGCTCAGGTTCAGTCCTGCATTTGGGAGTAGAACATGGTTTAATGGCAGGACCAAAGGAAATGCCCACATGCCTTCTTTGGTGGGAGAGACGGGCCCAGAGAAGATTCCTGACTATATGTGAGCATGCCCAGTGGAGACCTCCCCTGAGGATGGGATTACATCCAACAGCTGGTGAGCTACGTGGAAGGAAATGGAGCTTTAATTAAAAAGATGAGAAAAACCCAAGGGTGGAGTAGTTTAATGCTTACAGTAGATGCTCTGGCTCATTTGTCCTTCAAGGATAGGAAACAAATAAACAAAACTTGATACAACATTCAAAAGTAGCACAGACCACCCCTTTCTTCGGAGGTGTGGAGAGAAGGGTAGGATCAGCCCTCCTCCTTCCCAAATCAACATCCAGCAAGACAAACCTGCACAGGGAGACACGCCACTCCCACCCCAGGCAACAGAGCTACAGACTTCCTCCACCCTTCAGCCCCTGTCCTCTGCGTGAGCCCAGCCCTGTCCCACCGAGCAGACTCTTCACTCTTCGACCCCTCAGTTAGGGGACTTGGCTGTTCTTGTCTTCTTCTCTGGCCTCTTCCGGTGCCCAGGGCTGCTCCAGGCAAGTGGCAGGCTGCTCTTTTTGCGCCTTGCTGAGTAAGGGCCCAGTTCCTGGTCTGGCCCCTTCAGGCAGCTGGGTGAGACCGGGTGACGGCTGTCTGCTCGTCATCTGAGCACAGGGAGCTGGAAATAGATCGGGGAAGTAGCCGTCTCCTCCTGGGCCATGTCCCAGGGTTTGTGGACAGAACAGACTAGGAAAGGGCAGTTCTGTCACACAGGGGTCACTCCAGGGGATTGTGCCTGTGGGGTCAAAGGGTGAAGAAATTACTGGACAGGACTAAGAGCATCAACCATCACTCAATGTGTTCTGTAACAGAGACCCCTCCCACCTCTGCAGAAACTCAGCTGAGGTCCCCAGTGCAAGTCCGGGTGAAATGCTGGCACCCTCAGGCTCTCCCCTCCAGACCAGACACACCCCTGGACTCAAGTCCTGTGGTCTGGTAACATCAACACAAAGTGGACCGCGGCTCAGGCCAACCCTGTCTCACACAGGCAGCGAGGAGACCAGTACCACCTGGACATGTCCTTCCTGCCCTTCTGCCAGAATTTGGTCTTAATTAGATGGGTGCTTCTGGGATTTCAGAAGCCCAAGTGGCCCAGCAGAGTACTAATAAAGCTTCCGTCCACTGTGCCAAGTGTTCTCAGTCATCCGCTTCTAATCCTCACTGAATCCCTCTAGCGTATGGGACTCGTATTTTGCTAGCAAACTGAGACTTGGGAGCGCCAGGCACCAGCTGAGCTGGACCTCACGTCTTGGTTTTCCTGGCGCCAAACCCCAAGCTCTCTTGCCGGTTCACACTGTGCTCTGCAGCCTCCAGGAAATTCAAGGAAGAAGAGCTTAATAAAGAGAACCAGCGGTACCACCCATGCCCTGCTGCTGCTTGCCCTCCAGATTATGGGGCTCCCCATCCTTCTCCCCTTCCCCAAGCACAAAGGGGCCCTTCTCTTCCAGCCCCAACTCACCCGTATTCCCAGCAGGTTGCTGTAGCAGCATCTGCCCTGAGGGGGGGCCCGGGCAATAGCCCTGAGATGTGCCCCCGCCAGGGCCACAGGGAAAGGTGAAGAGTGTGTCTTCTGGCGGGGGCAGTGTCAGCGGGCTGGGCACGTGGAAGGGGAAGGTGTGGAGGGGTGGAAACTGGGGCTTCGGGGGCTGGAAGAGCTGGGTGTGAAGAGGCTGGGAGAACGGGAATGGGCCCGGCTGGTTGCTCTGTTGGGAATCCTGAGGTTCCAGCTCTTCCAAAAATGAGCAGAGGGGTGGTAGGTCAATGCTGTGGAGGACAGAGGGGCGTTTGGTGAGGTGCGGGGGTGGCCTCTTCCTTCCTGCCATGCAGCAGGGGAGTCCCTTCCTGCCATCTTCATGGTGACCCCAGGCTTGCAGCACCACTGGTGCCTCCTCTTCCTCTTCCTGCTCTGTTGCTTTGATATCCTAGATTCCTCCCACCCCAAAGCCACTTGTCCTTTTATTCCCATCTCATATACTGCTTCTTGCTCCTCTCAGTTACCACTTTCCCCTCCCCGCCAAGGTCTACCTCTCTTCTCTCCTTCTATACCCCTCCTAAGATAACTCGTGACCTCCCCCCACCCCAGGTTTCATACCTTGTTCCCCAGGACCCATCCTTGTGGCTGCTGTCACCACCAGGAACATCCATCAGCAAAGGCATCAGTTGGGAGGTATGGACAGGGCCGAGGGGAAAAGGAAGGTTGGCCCTTCGAACAGGTGGGGGGCTGAAGAGTGGTGGGGTCACCGCCACCCCCTGAGCACCCTCACTCTGTTGGGTGGCAGCCAGAGTCTGGTCAGAAGTCAGCAGCATGGGGGGCTCTAGGAAAAGCAAGCAAAGAAGGGGGCTATAAGGGTAAGAAAGTGGGGAGGCAGGTTTGGGGTTGCTGAATGGTAGACAGGAGCAATGCCCAGCCCCGCTTGAATGGGCCTCATGGGCTGCAAACACTGCAGAGCTCTGGCCCCCTCCCTCCACTATCAAGTAAGGACCCTTTGTCTTTACTGTCTTCTTAGCTGCCATTTCCCCCCAGCTCACCCTCTGAAGGGAGGAGCTCACTTGAAAAGGTGTCCAGAGGAGGCTCCTGAGGGAAGGGCTCAGGCATTGGGTCCACAGGCACCGTGGGTGGGAGCTCAGCTGCAGAGCTGGAAGCAGAGGGAATGAAGACTGTAGCTCTGGTGGTCTCCGGATTCCGACTGGAGCCCAGTGCAGGGATAGAGACACCAGATTCCCAGACTCTGCCTCCTACAAGGTACTGGCAACTTCTCAATCCCATCCTGGCCCAAAATTCCTCCAAGTGTTAGCCACCAACCCCAGGACTCATGCCCAGCCTCCCAACACTCTTTCCTCCTAGACCTCAGGATCCCAGTGTGGCCCTGTTTCTACCTATAGGGATGATACAGAAAGAGGAGAAATTCTTACCTGCACTGACCGCTGGCAGGGCCAGGGGCCAGGGCTGCAGGATCGTCCTTGTTTTCCTTCCCATTCAGTTTCTCCAGTTTTCTCCACTTGGCCCGGCGATTCTGGAACCACACCTATAGGGGAAAGGCACTTGAAGAATCTGAGAAGAGGGACAGAGACTAAGGGGTGGGGACTAAGGCTGACTGTCACATGGTGAGCTACAGGACTTTAGGGGAGTCACTTCACCACTTTGCTTCAGATGCCTCCCTGTCAGGTTGGTTTTATAAAAAGGTCTCTGCAGTGTCCTCCTCCACCAATCTAAGGCTGTGACTGTGCAAACAGGCAGGAGCACGGCTGCGTCTGAGATCTCACTTCAGCTCCTGCCCGGCCTGCCACTGAGCACTCTGCTCTGCAACTGGAGAATCCCAATCAGTAGGTCCTCCACCCCCACTGCCACCCGGTGAGCCAGCCCCCTTTACCATGATGCGCTGGGGGGTGACCCCCACCGTCTGGGCGACCTCCCGGCGTTTATCGCTGTCAGGATAGTGGTCTTCTTGGAATATCTTCTCTAGCTCCTCCAGCTGGTCTAGAAGAAGAAGAAACTTGTGCAAGAAGGATGAACACCAGTGACGGGGCAGGAGAGGAGAAAAAGGATGCTCACCAGGTGTCTTTAGCATATGGGACACTGTCCCCAACCCAACCAACCCCTCCCCAAAGACTTTCACAGCTAAGTTCCCCATTGGGCTGGGTCTTCTTGCTCTTGGATGTAGTGGTAGAGACCTGTGTGATACATACTTTCCTTAACCTTCTACCCTGGTCCCAATCTCACTTTCTGGCGAGACAACCCACCCTCCCCCTCTGAGGGTCAGAGGTGGTGGCACTGCCATGGCCCAAGAGAGGATGCAGGACAAAGTGACACATACACTAACCATACTCCTCTGGTCTCCTGGGGCTACAGTGTCTGTGCAGACCCACCTTTCCTGGGATGGTGCCAGATCTCTCAGGTTTCCTCTCACCTTTAGGGATTTACCTGAGCGGTATAGGGTTCGAGTCTTTTTCCGAACTTGGCAGGTCACTTCCGGGGGCCGCTTCTTCTGGTCTGTGTTTTGGCTGCTCTGCGCCAATGTGCTGAGGAGGTTGGCCAGGTGGCAGGGCCCCCGGCCCGATCCACAAGGCACTGGGTTGTGTTTGGTGTGGACCAAGTTGGTGACAGCTGGAGATGACGTTGAGGCCAGAACCACAGCATTCGGCTTCTTCTGCTTACCGGGGCCTGGAGAATACAGCCTTTTCCCCATCTTCACCTCTCCCACTGGGAGGGAACGACCTTCCCCCTGGGGCTGGGGTCCAGGTGGGGCTAGAGTTCTGTCTTTGTGGAGCACCCTGGAGCCAGGAGGCTGGCATGCTCTCCCAGCAGGAGCCCCAGTTAGACCTGCAGAGACCTCTGACAGCTTCTTCTCTCCCGAGATGGAGCAGGAGAGTGGTGGTTCCTCACGTGGGGCATCGTGAGCCTGAGGGGCTGAACCCTGCAGCAGCTCCTCCTGCGGCCCGGGAGCCAGGGCTTTGCCTCCACCTTCCTGGCCTGTGGGGAGGCAGCACCCACTGACCTTAGCACCAGGATGAAGACAGAGCCTGGAGTAACAGGAAGTGCTGTTTCCTGTTCTCCAGCTGATTTGTTGTTTGATCTTAAGCTTTAATTTGCCAACCTATCAAATGAGGTAATAATTTCAGACTTACCTTGACTACTGTGAGAATCAAATGAGAGAACCCGACTGCTTTGAAAAATGTAAACAAACGTATGCAGCTCTAAGAGGGTTTTAGCTCACAGCACCTCCTAATTGGAGGGCGCTCACTCCCTGAGAGCTCCCCATCTTCTTCCCTGACACAAGGGTATGGCTTTGAGGGAGAGACATCTGTTTGGGTATTTCTAAGGAACAAATGTTGGGGTTAGGGATGGCTTAGGAAGACAGGGAAACAGATCGACTGAGATTCTGCTTGTTCTAAGACTGGATCCTGTTTTTGCTATAGAATAGGGATTTTTGCTTGGAGAAGGGACAAAGCAGGATCAGATAGTCTGCAGAAGCCCAGGCAAGGACATCAAAGGAGACAGCCGGAGCAGCCATCCTCACCTTCCACAGAACTCACTCTGTCTTCCCCATGTTTGCCCCACCTCCCCCCACAGCACACCCATTTTCTCCCCGTCCCTGCAAAGCAGCACCTCACTCCCAGGCCAACCCTCTTTTTCAGGTAAAGAAAGAGTGACCCAGCTGGAACTCAACCCCCCATCCCTCATCCTGAATGCCTATTTTCCTTTCTTTGAGGAAAGACTGGTTCTCGAAGTTCCAGGCATGGCGCTAAGCGCCTTGCAAAGGTTAGTACAGAACGCACTTCCATCCCTGTGAAGAAGGCTTTCTAACAGATGAAGAAAGGATCAGAAGGTTCCGTAATTTGTGCAGGATCACCCAGCACAGCGAGCACATATTCTGTGCTCTTAATCACTACAGAGAGTCCTTCCTGGGGCCACCAAAGTTCCCTCCCCTTTCACCACCCAACTCACTCGACCGTTTTATCGTTTCCAACTAAACTGGAACATTTGTAAATGAATACTACCTAGCAACTAAGCTATTGTTATTTTAACGAAAATTGCATGAGATAATGTCTTAAGGAACTACTTTCTAAGGAGTAAAGAAAGGTGGAAGATCGTGGGCTAAGGTGCTTTACCAAATTGTTTCTTAGGGTGCAGTCAGATCCCACTTGCACGAGGGGGTCTGAGGCTGGTGGAGAGGGCGAGCAGGCCTGTCTGCTTCCATGGGGTGCGGGGCAAGGCTACAGCATTTCAGGAGAGCTTGTCCTGTAGCAAGGAACCTGGTTCATGGCACCTAGTACCTGCTCCCTCATCTACAGCGATACGCCCCCGTGAGAGCCTGAGGACCCTCAGAACCTAGAGTAGCAGGACTCCCCGGAGATCCGAACTCCACAGTGCAGGGCGCGACGAGGGCGGCCTCCTCCCTCCCTTCCACCCACCCCTGCCTTCGGCCAGCCGAGCCTCTCCGGCCGGCTGCTGGTAATCGGGTGACCAGAGGCCGCCCCGCAGGAAAGCCCCCCAAGCCCGACCCCCCGCGCGCCAGAGGCTAAGGGTCCGGCGGGTGCGCGCTCACCCCTCGGTTCCTCGAAGGGATCCTCCTCCGCGGGTTCCATGGCCTGAACTGCGGCCGCCCGGGCTGCACAGGCGCGGCCTAATGAAGCCTCGCCGGCCGGCAGGTGTGCAGCCCGCAGGGGTCGGGGAGCCGCAGCCCGAGCCTGCGCCCCCTCACCCCCACCCCCCGGGCGAGGCCGGCCCGGGACGCAGGGGCGTGGGGCAGCTGCAAGGACTGAGAGCGCTCACCTGCGCGGCCACGTGTGGGTCTCCTCCAGGAGGCCCCTCCCTCGGCGGGGGCAGGGAAGAAAGGCTGCAGGGGGCCCTTGGAGGGCTGCATCCTCAGGCGGACTTGGTCTTGGGTCGTGCTTTTGGGCTTGGAACACAGAGGCCCTCCTGAGCCCTTCCGAGTGAGCCGTGGAAGGCCACTTCTGGAGCCACTTATGGGGGGTCCCCTAAACACTGGGTTGTCCACCTCCTAGCTGCCCCCTGGAGTCTCTCCACGCCTCAGGATTAACGAACCCAAAGTCCCCGAACCGATTTGCGGTCCTTAGTGCACAGAGCTGCGCTCAGAGGCTGAAGAACGAGCTGGAAGAACCCACGACACAAGAGAAGCTGGACGAGGAGCAGACTGTGGATTGGACGCAACTGCACGAGGAGGCTCGCAGGTAAAGCCAGGACCCGCTCGCTAGCCGGGGCTGGGTCATTACGTCTCCACCCATTTGGTGTCTCAGTGCGATTCTCTGAGAACGGAAGGGACTCTCTCAGGGGTGGTCTCACAGGGGTGAAACTTTGATTCCTAGTTCATGGAATGTTTCTTGCCTTCTTCATAAAAACAAAATCAAAATTTAAAAATTCTTCTTACCCCTTCCTTACTTCCACACTGCGTGGGCAGGTAGGCAAAAGTGGAAGGGCTGGCCAGGTTGAAACAGGTGCGTGGAGCTGGGGTTGGGGGTTGCTCCAGAATAGAATCCAGGTGTTTTGTTTTTAGGATTTAAAAGAGTGTGGATACCACGTGTTTTCGTGCTATAAACAGCTGGTACATTTTGAGGGGCTTTTACACATGTGGACTTTGTGAGAGCTTTACTTATTTTCTGAAACATAAAAATGAAGTTAATTAACTTCACAGCAATATAATCAAAGCTTCAGGCATCTGATGTTTCATTCTGACTCCTTCAGCAAGATGGATATCCTCTGGTTTATGAAGGGTTTAGAAATAGGGCCCAGTTTCTCTGCTAGAAATGAAACATTTGGCCAGGCACAGTGGCTCACGTCTGTAACACTTTGGGAGGCCGAGGCGGGAGGATCAATTGAGGCCAGAAGTTTGAGACCTCCTGGGCAACATAGTGAGACCCCTGACTCTACAATAAATACAAATTTAAAAATTAGCCACGGGTGGTGTCAGGCACCTGTAGATACAGCCTACTCAGGAGACTGAGGCAGGAGGATGGCTTGAGCCCAGGAGCTCAAGGTCGCAGTGAGCTATGATGATGCCACTGCACTCCAGCCTGAGCAGCAGAGACCTTATCTCTTAAAAAAAAAAATGAAAGAAAGAAATGAAGCATTCTAGGCCATGTGAGCAAGGGAAGGTGGGCAGTGAAGTTGCCTTCTATGTAAAGAATGAAGACCATTTGGTAAATGGAAATTTTCCTCTTGATTAAACATTTACAGGACACCTACTGTATGGCAGGCCCTGTGGGTAAATCACTTCTTTGCCCATAGAAGCTAATTGGTGGAGGACAGATTTGAATAACACAATCAAATGGATCATGTCAATACGGTGTGGTCAGTGGAGAGTTAGAACTATGCACAGGCTAATATGGAGCATGGAAGAGCAAGAACCTCTCCTGGACTAGGACGGAGGCTTCTTGGCAAGGGTGACACATGAGCTATGAGCTGCAAAGTTTACCATGTCACAGTCGTGCTTAAAACTGTACCGTGGCCCCTGACTGCTGAGATAAAGACCAAGCTCCTTAACTTGGGATAAAAGGCTAACACGGTCTGGCCCTTTCCTCCAAATTTTCAGCTCTTCTTGGTCCTATATCCAGGTATTTCAGTGGTTGGTTTGTTTGTTTTAATTTGTGTCTCTTTTGACCTAATATTTCTCAAAGAATGTTCTTAAAACCCCCCTGGATCAGAATTTCTTAGGGAATTTGTTTAAAATATGGCCCCACCCCAAGAAATCTTAATGGGCAGTTCCAGGGAGAGACTCAGACATATCCATTTTGACAAGCCCTCAGGTGATTTTTATACATGTCAGAGTTTGAGACACTCTTAGATTTTTCTTTTGAAAAATCATCAATGGTTTCAATTAAAACCATCCTAGGGGTGTGAGAGGGAGTAATAGATGGTGGAAGCCTGTGTGGGGAAAGAAAATAACCTTTTGTCCTTTACTGAGGTGTCTGCTGCAATAACAAACTTGGCACAATTAATTTCTTAATAGATTATCCTATTGCATTAAATTAAAAATAAAGCATCCTTCTCTGCTGTCATTTATGCTGTACTTCCTCTCACTGGCTGGCTGCCCTGTGCCAGGGGGAAGTCAGAAAGCAAACATCCAAATAGCCCATAGCCTGGATAGCACCCTTACACAAAACTTCAAAAGATACAGGGTCTAACTGTACAAAAGGGTTTGCATAGTGTCCTAGGAAATTGAAAATTTTGACATTTTTCCAAACACATCAGTGAATTATTTTTTTTTTTTTACAAATGATATACTTTGATGTTTTGTTTATATGAGCGAATTTTATTTACTGTCTGCAAGTGAGTTTTATCTAAGATGCACATGGGCACGGGAACGTGTCTGAATGTGTTTTGTTGGGAAGGTGTTGTGTTTACCATACATGCTATTAAGTCATATCTTCTATGGATCAACTTCAGCATGAATATTTGTCGTGGAAGTTAAAACCCTGGCTTGAGAAGAGACTGCTCAATCACATGGAGGACAACAGGGTATTATTTTAGGAGGACTTGGGGCTCTTTCTAAGTCCTGTTTGGTTACATTTCATCTTCATGATCTTGTGACTAGTTCATAGACTCAAATTTGTTTAGCAGGAAGGGAAATGCTTTTATTTTTTATATTTTGGTTTCTTAGTTTTCAGAGCCAAACTGTAAACCACCACCACTGCCCACTTAGCAAGAGCCATTTATTCCAACATCTTTTCCTTCTCACAGATATGAGAACGACAGAATGAAAAGAAACATGTCTGATGTTAGTAAGAAATATAATCAATTCTTTTTCCAGTTTATATAGAGTTAACCATATAATTAGGTTAAGCAAGGGAAATAAGCCCTCTTTAACCTTCTGCGTCCTTCTCTATACTGGGAAACATTACCAAAGGTGGCAGCTGATGGAGAACATTTTCCAAAGCAGAACCACAGGGTGATTTGTTCTTGTTCTTTGGGCCACACCTGAGTGTAGGCAGCAAAGGGTCACTGGAAGACCTGGGACCCAAGAAGCAAGACTGCATGGGGAGAGACAAGCAAAAATCTGCACAGGTCCCAGCCAGGGAAATCATAGTCACAGCAAACGCGGGAGGTCAGGGCCCCCACGAAGCAACAGGAAGAAAAGCACCACCTATGGCAGGGAGAGCAAAAAGGAAGCCTGAGCCAGGCCTGGGTTCAGGGACCAGGACTAGCTGGGCTGATGAAGGCAAAAAGCCAGGTGGTCAGGTAAACACAGGGGCCACGGTGACCAAGCCGAGGCGATGATACCAGTGACTGGGAGAGACGCTGGGAACCCCCAAAGTCTCTGCTTGGGGGGTTCCTTTGGAAACCCCAGGAGAAGGATGATTTGAGGTTGCCAGTGAAGGGAACTGAGAACACCTGGCTCAAGTGGAAACTGCCCTGGTGGGGTGAGGGCAGGTTCTGGCGTGAATCAGAGTAATAAATGCCCGTGCACCGAACGCTCGAGATTTTGTGCTTCTAACAAGAATGGTGATGGCGTTTAAGCCATGTTGCTGCTATTGTTTACAATAAATCACCAATGTTTGCGTTTTGTAATTTAGAAAGTACTTTTTACATCCATTCTAATCCTGTCCTCCTGCTATGTCTCTGGTCAGGAGGCACTTCCTTCTTTCTGTTCTGTTCTATCCTTCCCCAGGATCGCAGAGCTGCAGTGCTAATAACAGTACAGCATTCAGGAACCTCTCAACCCCGCCCCAACCTTCACTGGGACTTCTCAGTGGCTACCACCCTCCCTCGCCCCAGTCTCCTCCCAGCCTTTTGTTCTGGGTCTTTCCTGGAAAAGGCCAGGTGCCTTCTCATGCCTCAGGGCCACAGAGCAAGCTGTTTTATTAGCATGAAACATCTTTCCTTCCCTTTTATTTCTGTCAAAGTCTTACTCATACTCCAAAGCCCAACACAAATATTCTCTTTCCTGGGAAGCCTATCTCAGCCTTCCACAGCCAGAATTTATTGCTCTTTGCTGTGATCTCCCTGATACTGACACTGTGTTTACATTTATATTACATCACGTCACACAGGCCGACCTGGTTAGAGTTTTGTGTGGTCTCTACTGAATTATAAATTCTTAGACCACAACTCATAATCGAAGCTGTGAGTTAGATTATGCCGGGCACTTTCTACTTACTTTACAAATACTAACTCATTGAATTTTATAATAACCCTATGATCTATCATTAGCCCATTTTATTGAAGAAGAAACTGTGGCATAGAGAGCTTAAATATTTCACCAAAGGTCACAAAGTAGCTATCCAAGATTTGAACCCCGTTAGTCTAGTTCCTACCTGCACTCCTAACCA